CTAAAATCCTAATCCTCATATATCCTAGGGTTTGAGGGAAGATCTGCTAAATTGATTTCAACATGGCTATTATTAGAAAAATCAGCATTAGTTGCCTCTGATAAATCCAAAACTTTTCCTTTTGTTACATATTTATCCATGTCAGTTAAATAATAAGTAATTAATAAAAAATAAACATTGTTTCTTATTATAAACATAGTTACTAAGTATAAAACAAACAGAGAAGACGACGTTGTGCTCGTTTGATGCATAAACAAAAAAACAACACGAAAAATGGCAACAAAACAAACATTGTCACTTTCTTCTTTCATTTACATCAATAAAACAAATACACACTTTCTCCTTTGATTTAGTGCAATAAAACAAAGGGATGGGGCTGCTACATCTCTTCTCCACAAGTTGATTGGATTAGTTTAATATTCAAAAGAAAATTGGCATCCATCAAAACAAATAAAGAAGTGATATTAATTTAATATTTATCAGTGGGGACAGGGACATATCCTAAATAAACACAGACAATATTATACCCTAGTTTTGTTCATAATATAAGTTATTAGCAGTTTAGAAGACAATAACTTCTTGGTTGCTCAAAGGGGGATTTTGGTATCCTAGTAATTAATTTTGGTATCCTAGTAATTCAGTCGGTTTGGGCCTAGCTAGTAAAAAAAAATCAAAAAGTTAAGGGTAGTTCTGGGCTTACTCTGGACCTATGTGGCTTGGCCATTAGGAATCTACAGTGAAAATTAGGATCGGAGGCTAATATATAGTAATGTTGATTTAGACCATTTTAAAATTGGTATAAAGCAAATATTATGCGTGCATGTTCGTGTAATTAAACAACACAAAGTTAAGGAGGGAAAATTTTCACGCTAAGACTCTGGTATTATCGATGCTTAAAATGTAAACAATGGATGGTTCTATATACAAAGCATACAAGCAGAAGAAACAAGAAACCATTGCATGAAATAATTAAGAAAAATCCAAAACAAAGTAGTATGACTAATAGCAAGCTGTTGATAAGATAGTAAAAAGACTTTCTGATTTTTCGGGATTGTCTTGGAATCATTCTTCAATAAGACTAGAGTGTGTGCGCATGGTTAGTGGCAACGGGGCTTGGTAGATGATTTGAAGCAGACGTATCATGCAACAACAGGGTACATATCAAGGGATAAACGAGGCGCTAGAAGGACCTCAAGTGGGACCGCTTTGCTGATAGTCACTCCAGCGCTTTCACTCATATCAATGGGTTCATTCGATGGCTTTTTAAGCACAAATTGTTGTATTAAAGTAGCTAACGTTATATGCAATGACCGAAGAGCAAACGGAATAGCAGGGCATACTCTTCTACCACTACCGAAAGGAAGCAATTCATAATTGTTTCCCCTTACATCAACATGTTTATGACTTGTCAAGAATCTTTCGGGCTGAAATTCTTCTGGATCTGACCATTTATTAGGATCATGTTGAATTTTCCAAAGATTAGTCAATAAACGTGTGCCTTTAGGGATTTTGTAGCCACCAATAACGCAATCCTCCATGGACTCATGAGGAAGGTTTAGAGGTCCAGGCGGGTATAAACGCAGTGTTTCTTTAACGATTGCGTCAAGGTAAACAAGGTTCTTCAGGTCCGACTCCTCCACTGCTCTCTTCCTTCCAACATGCTCATCCAATTCATCTTGGGCAATTTTTAATACTCTTGGGTTGTTGAGCAACAAACATAAAGCCCATGTTAACGTTGCAGACGATGTGTCCAATCCCGCAGCTAAAACAGTCTGCAAGTTTGAAGTTAAAACAAATTTGTTGTATTAGATTTCAAGCAACATGCATGCTGATAATTTTGTTTTTTGCACACCTTATCTTTGCCACTGAAAACTGTTGCAAATATTATAAAGAATGTGGAAGAAACTATAAACGATTAACAAACTTTACTAATAGTAGTCGTATAGCATTGGTGATGTATAAAATGATGATGAGATAAAGATTAGGCTTACCAAACATGTAGCCTTGATTATGGTATCATGGTCAAAACCACGGAATTCCTCTGGGGAGGCACCTTCAAGAACGGAAATCAGAACATCCATGAAGACTTGGCTTCTTTCATGTTGCTGCGCATGCTTTTCCTCCGCTCTCACTCTCTTGTGATCCTCTAGCCATCCTGTAACAATTTCGTACATCTCTTCTCCTGTGATCTTCATTTTTTTCTCGTATCCTCCCAGGTCCAAAGGCTTGAGATATGGAATAAAATCAGACACCACAAATGTGCCCAATAAGACAAAGAATTTCCTTATCACTTTTTGAAATCGAACCCCTTCTTTGTCATCAGGTGAAAACCTTTTTCCTGAAACAACCCTGACGACAACATTTAATATCAAGTTCTGAAACCATTGTTTCATATCCACCTTTACCATGTCGGAACTTCCAGTCTGTTTATTCTTTACCCAAGCGTTATATATATCTTCCATGGATGCTTTAACCTCTGCAGCACGAAGAGGTCCAAGCATCTCCACACGTCGCTGAGAGAGAACCTCGAGTGTCAAGATCTTGCGCACTTGTCGCCAGTAGTCCCCATAAGGAGCGAGAGCCAAGATGGCATAGTTATAGCCCATGTGTTCTACTGCCATTGACTTGGGTCGACTTGCAAAGACCTTATCGTTTGTGGTAAAGCACTCTTTCGCCATCTCAGCGCTACTCACCACCAAAACATTGTGAACACCAAGCTTGATGGTGAAGATGGGGCCGTATTTATCAGCCAATCCACCTAAGACCCTATGAGGTAATTCAGGTCCACCAAGAAGGCCCAGGTGTCCGATTACCGGCCATCGGCCCTTTGCTTGAGGTGGTTCTGTGTTCTTCACTCTCTTTCCTTTCAAGATTTGCAGCAGGAATTTTAGTAGAAAACCAAAAAATATGGCTGCTATACTTGCTGAAAACGGGAGAAACAACTTCATGTTTTCTACGTCGACAAAGAATTATGAAACTGATGATACATGGATTTCATAATATATACAGATGTAACTCCCTGGCTGCAGGTAAAATTTTATATATAATATACGGAGTATAAATAAATATGTATATAGATGGCAATGTTGAATGTCTAGTCAAGAAAGTGGGCTTAAGACAACCATACAGACAATAATTTTTTATTAACAACTTAATTACAACGTAGCATCAACATTTACTTAAATAAGGAATGGAATTAAATTCATTTATTGGCGATCTGTCAAAGAAATGATAGAATCATGGAATCATGATGTTGAATATGTTTGAACAAAGAAAAAGTCAAAAAAAAAAATAATAATAATAATAATAAAAATTTAAAAAATCGACATATATCTTTGCTAGAGACAATTTGTTTTATTAAAGTGAATGAAAATGTAACATCTAATGAAAATGTAACATCAACATTTAGTTGAGAAGGGAACATAATTTAGTAATGGAATTTACATGATTTATTGGCATTGTGTAAAAAAAAATGATAGAATCTTTCAATTGTGGATTTAGATGTAGTTTTACCAATTTAACTTTCATCCATTTGTTAGGTAAATACGTCAATCACCAAATTTTACTTCAACTAAACCAATATATGCATTTGTCTAGAATACAATAATATATTAAAATATTATAAAGACAAAGCTTCATTTTTCGTCCCTGTGGTTATCCAAAAATTGTGGATAAGGTCCAAAAAATTTTCAAGTTGCATGGTTGGTCCAAAACATGAAACTTCTTGTGGTTTTGGTCCCTGGAGTTAACTCCCGTCCATTTCCTTCCGTTTAGTGTAGCTCGTGCCCTCCATGTGAGGGTAATTTCGTCTTTTTATCTATTGGTCCCTGTGGTTTGAAAACTCCTTTAAGACTCAATCCACAACGTCTCTCTTCTCTTTCATCTTCATTCAGATAACACATCTTTCTCTCTTACTCTTTCTTGGTTGATCGATTTCTTTGTTCACTCACAATGGTGCAACAACTATGTTTTTGTGGAAGAGAGGCTGTTGTGCGAACCTCCTGGACAGATTTAAACCCTGGTCGTCGTTTCTTTGCATGCCCTAAACAGGTAACAATGTGCAAAATTAGGTCGACGATTTTGATTTAATAATCCATCCACTTTACTGTATAATTGTAGGATTCAAAATGTAGATCTATTGGGTGGGTTGACCCCCACATGTGTCCAAGATCGACAATTGCTGAGAACAATCAACAGGCATGAGTTGGATTTGGGGAATATGCAACGTGATTCAACAAAACTCAAGATGTATTTGGTTATAAGGTGGGTTCTGCTTCTTTTGGTTATCTACTTTAGGAATTAGGGCTTACATGTTAGGGTGTACTTTTTGGAAGATTGTTGTAATGTTGTGTTTTGGTGTTGGTTTTTCTAAGCTGGAAGTGTTAGTTTTTGTTATAAATTGTAAGCTGAAAGTGTTAGTTTTTGGTTATCAACGGTAACTTGTTTTAATGAAATTGTTAGTTTTTGTTATAAATTGTCTCAGTAGTTTTTGTTATAAATTGTCTCAGTTGAAATGGTTATGATAATAGTGTATGGTGTAATGCTGAAAATGTTAAATATTGACTATGATGTTAACCATAACAGAATACAAGAAAGTACATCACCAATAACTGCTTTAACAAAACAAAAAACCAAACATTACCATTAAGCAGTACCAAAATTACATAGCTATTGCATAACCATGTTCAAAAGTGCATAACCATTACATAACCATGTTCAAAAGGGCATAAATATTACATAATAACAATAGTTTTAAAACTTTACCAACTATTACAACCACAAATAAAACAAAAAATCTAGTAGCCTACCCTTGCAACATTACCATTAAGCAGTACCAAAATTACATAGCTATTGCATAACCATGTTCAAAAGTGCATAACCATTACATAACCAAGTTCAAAAGGGCATAAATATTACTTAATAAGTAGAGTTTTAAAACATTACCAAATATTACAACCACAAATAAAACACAAAATCTAGTAGCCTACCCTTGCAACACTTCAAACTTCATTTGCTTGACTGGTACCTCCATTCCCCCCCGTACCCTTGCATGTCCTGGCATTATGGCCCTTGTTCTTACACTTACTACATGTCACACTCACAAATTTCCTAGTTAGCTTCTGACTTTCACATTGACCTTGTTGTGGGTTCTCTTTCTGACTTTGGCTTACACTCTTCTCATCAGTAGTTTGCCTCCTTTTCTTTTTTGGTCTTCCTGGTTGCTTGTGGTGTGGTGGAGGGGTAAGGGTTGTTGGACTATCACTCTTAGGCCACATGCTCCTTCCTTTGATGGAGTCGACTGTGAAAGAGTACATGCTTTTCCATGTTTCTAGCCAATACACCTTATGCACATAGGTGTACAGTTCTCCTACTTGCTCACCATTATCTGCCATTTCATTGATTGTTGCAATTGCATGCTTGCAAGGCATGCCTGTCAACTCCCATTTCCTACAGCTGCAAGTCATCTGCCCCATGTCCACAATATGTTGATCATGCCATGGCCCTTTAACCTGGTACTTACTCACTCCATTCCATCTTGCAGTGTATTGTGAAGCACTTGATATGTTTGCATATAACAACCTTTCACTAGTAGGTGTTAGTGGACATGTGCACTTGTTTATCACCTTCATCACATTACAAACTCTTTTCATAAGATATTCCCTTATGAACTCCAAACAGGTTATTATTGGTTTATCCCTTCCTTTTACGAGCTTACTGTTGAAATCTTCACACAAATTATTCAACAACATATCTAACATTCCCCTACCTATTATTATATAGTACATGTTGGTAAGCAAAATCAATGGGAAATAATGAAAATATATAAAATTATACAAATAAGTAATTACCTGAGAAATGGCTTCTAGCCCAATGATGGGGAGGGATTTTCATAAGCCATTCATATGCTTCCACGTCATAGGATCTGAAATCTCTCATCAGTGTTTCAAACTTCGGGATGGTTGTGACTTTAGCACAATTCCACAAATGTTCCTTGTACTCTGTTATCGTCCGTACTTTTCTCATATTCTCATAGATATGCCTTAGACAATATCTATGTTCAGCACAAGGAAATATTTGTGCAATAGCAGGTATGAGACCCTGTTTACATGAAGGAAATAGCTAAATTAGTATATAAGTATAAGTTAGTTGTCTAGCAAAATATGTTAACCATAAAAGTACCTTCTGTTTGTCACTGATAAATGTGAAGTTTGAGTTAGCATGAATGTCCAAGTCATCTCCAAGACATTCCAAAAACCATTTCCAGCTATCGGTGTTCTCAGTCTCCACAATTGCATATGCTAGGGGATAGATTCCATTGTTGGAATCAACCCCAACAGCTGTAAGAATCTGACCTGGGAATGATCCTTTCATGAATGCACCATCCAAACCTAAAAAATCCCTCATCCCAATCTTAAACCCTTTCTTTAAAGCTCCTAAGAACACATACATCCTTTTGAATTGCCTGGTTGAGTTGTTACAGTTAGGCTCAGACTCCACTTGAATTTTTACAGTTGTATCCACATTTGTTGCTTGTAACTCTAACACATAATCTCTTAAAACTGCATACTGTTTAGTATAGTCTCCGACCACCATTTTTGTTGCGAGAGCTTCAATTACTTCTTTGCCCTTTACAAACCAGTACTCATTATCATTTGCCCTAGAAGCGTGGAGTCTCCAAGTACACTTGGCCTTTTCTTCAATTACTTCTTTGCCCTTTACCTTTTTTTGTGGTAGGTCCACCAACCCCACTTGCATTGACTACCACAGTTCCCTTACAAACAGATGTCAAGCTATGTATGTCATTTTTTGTAAAACAAATATTTCTTCTAGTCTCCATTGCATGCCTATCAATTTTTTCCTTTAGTTCTTTTTTTGATTTATATTTTTGTCCTACATGGAAGGCCACCTTGTGCACTTCACCATGAGAACACACTCTCTCCTTGCCTAACTGTTTAATGATCTGCCTTCTTTTCCTATCATTATCTGAGTCTTCACCCATAGAATCCCATTCATCATTGTTAATAACCTCTATATCCTCTACTTCCTCTTGAACATCATTACCCTCATGAAACTTATACACACTCCCTAAGTACTCTGCATTTGTGTCTATACTCATGTAAAAATTCTCCATGTCTACTTCAATATCTGGAATTAGGTTATCTTCATCAACCATAAAGTCATTATCTTCACTGTTGTCTTCACTGCTATCTGAATCATCATCATTACTTGCATCTACATCAGCCATGTTGGATGGTTTTTTCGGAATACTTTCATTAAATTCAACCCCATAGAAAGGGTAAAAATCTTCCAAAATTTCCTCTTCTACACTATAGTTGTCTTCAAAAGGGACTTCATTTGATTGTTGTTGCTTATTCATAGCAGTACACCCCTCCTCTACACCCTTATTTGCAATAGGTTGCCCCTCCTCTACATCTTCATTCACTAATTTTTCAACCATATCTACATCAACATTAGTAGTCACAAGGTCAACTTGATCACCTTCAACAACACTTATTCCTCCTTTGTCTACCCAATCTAAGCAAAGCTTTTTACTACATGATGAGCTACCTTGGGTAGGTTTCCAACCTCTACCCCTACTCAACTCAGGTGTGAAAAACCCATACCTTGCCAAGGTCAACCCTACAGTAGGGGATACGGGCAGAGGTGGTTCCTCATCTTCAATCTCTTCTATTATAACCCTTCTAGGACCATTTGGGGACATGAAATAGATAACTAACGTTGTTTCTCCATGCTATGTGTACACTATTATCAGTTTGTTCTCACTCACGTATTTTGATAGGTTACGTACATCATCATCATTACCTAGAGCTCTTAGTCCAAAATCCAAACCCTCATTGGGCAAACGGAAATGGTAGTAGATGACAGGTGGAACAACATACCCTAAATCTAACATGATGGAGTCCATTTCGTGTTATGAGAATTCTTATATATCGATCACATCAATGTATGCTACAACCCCTTCAATATACTTGTTGCCTGGACAATTTGTGAACTTCCCACCATGATGAAGCTCCATATTGAACATGGTGGGATGTCCAGCTTAAAAAAAAAAACAAAAAACGATTTTTAGATTTCAAAAGTGTAAGAACGTGATCAAATACAAGCATCTTACCATAAATTTGATTGGGATCAATTTCTTCACCGTGTGCTCTGATGGACCACATTGTCAGAAGTATTTGCGAAATTTCAACTACAGATTGAAGCTCGATCAGGAAAAGGGTTTGTGATTAGGGTTTTTTTTATCTTCACGTCGTCAAAGGTGGATGAAGGAATAGGAGTAGCCAACTGATAATTATGGATGATATACACAAATAGGCTATAGAGCTTTCAATTGGCGGTAATGTGTAATACAAATGAAAAGACAAAATTACCCTCACATGGAGGGCACGTGCTACACTAAACGGAAGGAAATGGACGGGAGTTAACTCCAAGGACCAAAACCACAAGAAGTTTCATGTTTTGGACCAACCATGCAACTTGAAAACATTTTGGACCTTATCCACAATTTTTGGATAACCACAGGGACGAAAAATGCAGTTTTGTCTATTATAAAATAAGTTTGTATAAACATTGTTTGTTTTGAACTATACGATAATAAACATCTTTTAAAATTATATGTACTTAATTGTTTCAATGGTCTCTACCAAAGATTACTCATGAATTAAATTAAATATAATATATGGTTTAAAAATGTTTATCGTTGTTGTTTTGATTAATTAATTTAAATTAGTTTATTTGAATAAGAGTTTAATTTTTTATCATTGTAATTATTTAAAACATCAAAAATTGATTTTATTTTTAAAGGTAAAAATAAAATTTTTGTATATGATTTTACTTTTAACTAGTGTTGTTGTAAGTTATTTAAAATAATATATTTGAAAAATCTTAGTTATTTAAATTGGTTTCAGAAATTTAACTTTTTTTAAAATATATTTGATTAATATTATTCGTTTCTTTGATTATAATTATTTAAAACAACAAATCTGGTTTTTGGTTTTAAAGATAACATTATAATTCTTTATATAATATTACTTTAACAATTCTTATTTTAAGTTATTTTTAAGCTATTTATTTCACTATAGGAAAATAACTCTTTAATGACACGCAATCAATAACACGCACTGATTAACTATACACATTTTTTGTGTTTCCTAAAATTAATGTAAGTTTTCCAAAATTCAAAGGATAGAGGAATGCATTTATACGTACCATAAAATTAGTGTAAAAAAAAAATTAAAAACACGAATGACACTTTTCTTAAATGAGTGTCGTGTAGAGATGTCGCTTTATAAGTATTTCAAACACGCCTCGACCGAAGTATGAGTACTACTAAATTCCACAAAATCGCAGGGACTAGGGCTTTTTCAAGAACGAAAACACTTGTTGATCTCTGGCCTCTACAAGAATTAATCGATAATCTTGTCTCACCTCGCCGACAACATCTTTGCTCATTTCTCCTGTAACGACCCTAGGGGTATTTTCCTCTAGCGACCTCGGGCTCACCTTTTTTAATTTTTTAATTTTGACTACGACTACGAAACAACCTTATTATATAGAAAAATTTTCAAAAATTTTTTTTTTGTTGTTATTTTTTTGAAAAATTTGTTTAAAACCTCTCTAACAAATGAATGAATATTTGGTTTGCGTTGTAACCGGCGGAGGTGGAAAAGAGAGTTACTCTAAAAAAGATAATGAAAAATGAAGGAAAAAAAACGTTTTATACAATATAGCTACGAAATTACAGATGGAATGTACAAAATCACAGATGGACTGTTCCATCTGCGAACGTACAAGTGCCTAAAGCATAGATGTCCTTTAGGCATTTGTATGTGCGCAGATGGAAATGCGAAATCACAGATGGACTTAGTTCATCTGCGATTTTAAGGGCTAGTTTTATAATTTTGGTTTTTTTTGGCTATTTTCCACAAAGTAATTAATGTATTTTGCTAAATTTAATTTTCTCATATATATATATATATATATATATATATATATATATATATATATATATAGTTTACATAGATGCCTCAATTTCGTCATATGTTCTCACCTTAATGTTATACATGGAGGAAACAAAATGATGCTCGAAAGAAAATCATCACAAGATAATTTGTTTTCATGTTTCCATAACATTTACATATAATTTTATCAGTGCTCACAAAGCTACGCCATATAAAGTTAAGATATTTAGAAATACTTTATAATTTTGATTATGGACATCTCACTTTTGTATTTTGTTTCCAAGTAGCATGTGGCTTAGAACGAATTGAAGTTATACTTGGTTGTGATAGATAAGCCACAACCTTTTCTCATTTGGAGTTTCTATTTTTAAGAGGATGTTCATGTGAGATTGTCACACCCCCGAAACAGACGGCGGAAACGTCCGAGGGCTCGTGTGACTTAAATTGATTATCATCACAATGAATATACATGAAACATAACATAAACATCACCATGCATCAATATATTACAACCGACGTTGTTCACATCAAGTACATTGTTTTAACATTACAAATCCATACATAAGTTGTTTGATAGTTTTCAAAAAACAAAACACACTAACATACTTGGTACTTATTCCTCAGCTTACCTGTTACCTAAGAATACAAGTTATTTTGAAAAACGGTCAACGTATGGAATGTTGGTTAGTTCATAAGTATGTTTGATATGAAAAATGTTTTGTGTAGTTTGAACGAGAACAACCCAGAAAATCCGATATTTTCTGAAAAGATCGTTGTTTGTAAAAAGGTGTGAAGATCCGTACATATATGCATGATAATTTCAAAAACAAGTATAATTGAAGAACTTAGTATTAAACGTACAAGTGAAAATGTTGAACCTCCCCGGAAAACCCGATGTTTTCCAAATACATAAAATATAGTGATTACTCAAATTGTTATACCGCCACAATGAATGATCTTGATTACTCTTCCTTGATTACTCGGATGGTTTGGATTAATTAATGGTTGTGAGTCGTTATAACCGTGCATGATAGTGACTACTTATAACTACAAGCTACGAACGATCCTTAGAGATGTCATCCGTTATTACTCACTTAAATCCAAACAACCTTGATTACTTTTGATTAACAAACTGAATCTGTTTACTTTGATTACTCATAAGTCTAGCTAATAAGGAAAAGAGGAGTACAAAGTCCTACTACTTCCGTGAGTTCACTTTAGGCTGTCGGGGATGCAAAAGACACGTTGGTCCGTCTCGCATTTGATTACTTTGACCTTACTGGCAATACTAATGGGTCCCTAGGGCCCAAAAGCACTTAATAGCCATTGAAGGTCCCTTTATATGGAATTGGGTCATAGAAGGCCCAATAACATATAATCATTATCCCATTGGGCCCAAAGATCATGTTAATAGACTTCAAGATCCAACAAGCATGATTTGAGGCTTTCAGCCCAAGGTTTTTGGAATGTTTATTTGTCTTAGGCATTGTATACTTGTTGTAGGGTTTGCTTGAACGACTTGTTATTTTTGTATTGACTCGAGACCGAGCGATTTGTTTATAACGATATTTGGAGTCATACGTGTATCCTTCGATTTTTGTAAGCCGTAGATTAGTATTTTTGACGCATTATTCTATAAATAAAATACGTGGTCTAAAAATAGTGGTTTGACCCTTTTCAACCCCTTTCTTTTTATAAAATAACAATTTTAGTCCTTTATATAAAAGAAAAGTCATTTTAAGTCCTTAAAACATTTTCGTGACACTTTTGAACCATAGACTTGTTTAAATGATATTTTTAAACTCAAGACTTATTCTTTGGCAGTTTCAGCCATTCCAGAATAGTATATTTTTCAGTTAAAACCCAAATTTTTGCAAGTTTCACGATTTTAGCCCAAAAGCTAAAAACTTTGCATTTTTTATCCTTTTTGGAAAAGAAAAGCTTTTTTAACCCTTGAAATAGTTTTGTTACACTTGTTATCCCTTGTTTTCAAGAATTTACAATTTCATCCCCTTTAAATGTCATATTTTCGCGATTTTTGGGTTATTGGGCCGAAAAGCCCAAAATTGAGCCCATTAAGCTAATATTTATATTTTAGGTCCTTTGAAGGTCATAATGTTCATAAAAACAACTATTGTAACTGTTTTGATTCTTTTAACCTTTAAGAAATCGTGATTGGCAACTTTTAACGCAACTTTTGTATATTTGACAATTTAAGCCCCAAAATGGCTTTTATGTTGAAATATGTTTATCACAATCTTATGAGTTATTTTTTGACTTGTTTAGTATAATATAACTTAGATCGGGTTTGCTTTTCCTTCTTATGGTATAAATCTCAAATTATCTTCCCTTTTGATTACATATTCATCACAAAACACATAAAATCACACATACATGCATAAAATCATACATAGCACACATATACACATAGATCTACACATTTTGCATGTATTCTCCCCCATAAAACTTATGAAAACCAAGAATAGAGGGGTATGAAGCTCACCTTTAGTTGTGGGTTCGGTTTTGAAGGAAGAAATAAAGAAAGTTTCGATCCTAGCAAGTCTTCTTAGAATATCTCGAACTTCGAGGCTTCTAAGATGGTGATCATGAGTTTGAATAGATTAAGAGGAGGTTTTTGATGAAATGAAGTAGTTAGATCATAGATTAAGCATCAACTTACCTTAGATGATGAATTTTTATGGAATAATCTCCTTGAAAATCCGTTAGATCTCGAAAATTT